AGGCAACTTAGTTTCCAAATTTCTGTAAACTTGCTCCGATCAGATCAAGGGCGGCGTCTCTTTATTTTGTAAAATTTTGCAAAATTATGGTACAAAATACACAACTTTTACAAAGTTACAAATGACTTCGTGCATTGCCTCAATGTACATTTATATTTTGACCACCACCCAATGCTGATAATTTGTTCCCCATTTTTTCTCCTCATCACCTGTAATGTTATACTTTTGGTCGGCAATTAGACCTGAAGGAGAAGAACGACGAGATGCATGAAAATGAAGATCACATAAAATCGAGATGTTTTTTTTTCTTTAAAGCGGAGAGTGGAGGAATCGATTAAAGAATTGAAATGAAATGAGCAATCCTGCCCACAACTTGTAAATAAATAAATAGCAACCAGTTTATGAGTTTGGTTCCATTCACGATCTTCTTGCCTTAAAATCCAATCCACCACCACCACCACCACTTTTTTACCTTCTTCTTCTTAATGAGGACAAGATTAATAAGTTTTAAGTGTTGCTGTGTGGTTTGGTTGGGTTTTGGCTTGATTGTGCATCGATTCACGTGCACCTTTTCCAGGACAGGGCAGAGGGAATTGAATATTATTTTATGTGGATGGATGGATGGATAGATGAAGAACCGGACTTGAATTAAAAAATCTGTACTGTAATTAACCCAAGAGTTGGGCAGGGATGCATTATTTACTCATTAGTGAAGTTGGCAGTAAGTACGGGGAATTGTATACATTTTAAAACACTAGTCTTATTTAGCAGGGGGTATTATTTAAATGTGTGTGGGGAGAGAGAGAAACGGAAAATTTACCTGACAATTCTACTCTTTTAAGATGAGTAAAACCGTAAAAATGAGTCATTTTTACATGGAATTCTAAATTAAATACGTACCAACCTCGTTACGTTATCAATTTAAATAGGGGGGGGGGGCAGAAAAACGCTGGGAGATAACATCGCCACCACGATAAGGTCGGATTTTCCCTCTTTTTTCAATACGGCTGACTCACTACATGTCACAGCCCCCCGCACGCCGTGCCCCTGTTGTAACCACCCCCAAAACCTATAAATTATTACGTCCTCCTGAGTGCCACCCACACCTCAAAGACAACAAACAACTGTAAACACATGCATAAAAATAGCAATCAGAATAAATCATAAATCCCCCCGCCCCCAAAATCCAATCCATAACAAAAATCAATTTATTTAATTCCCCCCACCAAATTACGGGTCATCATCATCTCTTCCATAACACCTCACCTCACCCGATCCACAGCTTTTGCCTTAATTTACCCCTAATTTCGATTTAATTTCAATACTTATTTCTTATTTCACAGGTAGCATCTAACTTTGTATATAGGAAAGAAGAATGCGGTCTCCTCATATAAAACCAACCACAATGAGACGACGACGACGATGATGATAATGTTTAATGTGGATATCTACTTATTCTCGCCCTTTAATTTCATACAGGATTGGATACCCATACATACGCTGAGTCAGGACAACTCACGATTTTTGGTGAAACTCAATTAAAAAAGATGTGCTCTCTCTCTGTTATTACGAGTAAGCACCAATCCACCACCACCAAGATCAGGTCAAGTCAAGAAGAGTTGTAATGTGATGTAAACTAATGCAGCCATAATTTACAATTTGTAAAAGAATAAGATCCGGCTATGTAGAATTATTAAGAGGACACGCCATCCTCCATCCCAGCCCAGCCCGGCCCGGCCAGGCCACGACACGACACGACACGCCGTGTCACACCCAAGAAAATGAAAATATGTATGTAATAGCAGTTCAACAACAAACAGTTCACAAAGTTTGTGGCGTTATGGTAAATTGCGAGAGAGAGAGGGAAGAATTCGTACTTTTGGTTGGTCAGTCACTCACTCACTCATTATTTCATGGAGTATTTATTTAAGGCCCGAGAAACAGTAAGGAAGAGTTGGGACGAGTGACGGTTTTTAGCAGTTTTTTGAGGGGAAGTAACCACTTGGGAGAAATAAGAGGGGAAGAAAGTGTTTTTTTTGCAGGGGAATATTTCGACCTGGGAGATATGCAAGGTGGGAGAAACTATGCATCGCTAAGGTAAATAGTTCATACGGCGCGTGGCTAGGGGGCGCTTATTTCTACCACTTTCTTGCACCTCGCATATCTTGCGGGGCTTGCTTTGTAGTGCAAGAAATTGTTATAAAATCAGCAAGAAACGATACACTTATTTTTAGGAATTAATCGATTTTTCGGAAATTATGGCCCCTTCAAATTCCAAGTTTGAGCACGCATAATTTTTAGGAATTAATCAATTAATCTTTTTTCGGAAACTTTTCCCGACGGAGATACATAATCCACCAGATTATCTACCTTTCGAGAAGCCATTTATCGCCAAAATTATGCCCCCTCCCCCCTAAAATTCGGACAACCCATAAGGATTCCCACCCCTGGACGTGGAAAAACCATCCCAAGTAAGCCACCCTTTCCACATTGAACGAGTCTGCTCATCGGGCCACAAGCTTGCACAATAAGCCATAAAACTTTACCCGCACCACGAGACCAGCGTGGGAATATTGCACAATAATAAAATTCAGTAATGATGCCATTTCTTCCGACTAAACGAAAACGAACGCTGCCTCCCTAAAACTTGGTGCAATTTAAATAGGCATAAAAATCCCAAGGTGATGATGATCATCATCATCACCATCGCCATGCAGTCACGTTATGCAGAATTTACTTACATACATCTTCCTCCTCTTCGTAAACACAGAATTGTGCTCTCGTACATACGTAAATGCACAATTATGCAAACAATATTACAATTGCGCAAGAAATAAATGGAGAAGCCACCTAGGCCCCACTCCAATAAAACACCAAACAAAATTTAATAATCATCCGACAAGTTGTAAGTACGACCATGAAAATAAACGCTCGGAATTTTTGGCTTGATTTATGTATGTACAGTGGCATAAATTGGCAAGAAGCTGGTCAAATCGCCATAAATATGTCCTACGGATCCGTGCAACTCTAATTCTGCATAAATTTAAATGCTGGTCAAATCGCCATAAAAACATATGTATGCCTTGCGAATCTGTACAATTCAAATTTTTTCCGTTGGACGGAGCATGAAAATAAATGGGTGGAATTGTTCGCCTTATTTATACCGGCATAAATTTAAAAGCTGGTCAAAATTACTGGTCAAATTGCCATAAATATATACCCTGTGAATCCGTACAACGCTAATTTTCCTCCATAATAAAAACCCACTACCTTAGAAATTACCTTCCCCGGAACCCATTTCTTGTCACCCTCAGTTTCTTGCGGGGACTAGTGAATGGTGCGGTTGGTCACGTGGTGTACTTACAGATTCATCAAGAGCAATTAGCAATTTAACACTTCACACGTCTGACAATGGTTTCACAATGGGAGCGGATGTCAGTCAGTGAGTGAGGAGAAGAAGACCAAGAAAACCATCCGTGTCATAATTGACTCCTTTCCTTTCTTCTGGTCACTACTGGTTTCCCTCACTTTATGGGGCTGGATTTCCTTCCTTGCGGCGCTTAATTCTACTCTCCAGCCAGGCTACTAAATCCGGTAGCCGTTCTGGGACTCATTGTCAGTGGCCGCGGAATGAAGTGTGGGGACAGGGGGACGATGTTCCCACGGTTGCTTGATATCCGCATTATCCAATGTAACACAAACCCGGCGTTCCCTATCCTACAATGTTAATGTCCCCAGATGTCCCCTACCCTATAATTTTAATATCCCCAGGTGTCCCCTACCCTACAATGTTAATGTCCCCACATGTCCCCACGGTTATTCGATGTCCCATCTTATACAAACCCGCTCCTCCCCAATGTTACCCTCCCCCGACGTCCCCACACCTTCCCCGGCCACTGGTCCTACTAAAAGATTCAAGTCAAGAATGAAGTGAACTAGATTTTTTTCCCCCTAATTTGATGATGTTTTGATGACAGACGCAGCGAGAGAGCGACCGAGGGACGACATGACATGACGGATCACTTCAAATCCTACGACGTGTAAATCAAATCACGCCAGAGAAGCAGAAGAGGGGGCAAAAAATGTATCGTAAATCGACCGACCGCAGTTCCTCCTCTGGACTTGTCCGTCGGATTTGTGTGCATGTACAGTGGCCGCGGAAGCTGTGGGGACATGTGGGGATATTAACAGGGGAGGGCCGGGTTGATAGAAGATGGGGAGATGATGCCGACATCGAACAACCGTGGGGACAGAGGGACGATGTCCTCACACCCTTCCGCGGCCACTGTGTAATGTGTATGCATGTAAAGAAGGAGGAATAAAGTGCCCGAGGAGCTGACGAGACAAGAGAATGTGATGCGAGTGAGATGATGATGAGCAAGGCGACGATGGATGTGAAGAATAGAAAATTATGAGAATCATGAGAAACCACCAACTTTTTCGTGTCGCCTTAAATTTCATGGAAAAGTGTGGGCGAGATTTAGGAAGAAAAATATTAATACGAGTAGTATGCCAGGATTTTAGAAAAATAAGAGGGGAACAAAAAAAAGATGGAAATTTCTAGAAATTTAGGACAAAATATGGACTAAAGTGAAATATCCAGAAGTTCTGTACAAAAAGTGGAGCTTTTTTCTTTAAAGCAAAATTTTGTAAAAAAAAGACCTTATTCATTTTGTTAAAACAAGAATTTTTCAAAAATTTCATGTTTAGTTTGATACACTAGGAGATTTTTTTAAACGAGATTTTGTTTTTAAAAAAGTAGGGATTCTTAAAAACGGAAATTTTCAAGAAATTCAGTATGAAACAAGCCTCTTCTGTTTTAAACCGAGATTTTGTTAAAAAGCACAATACAATAATTCATTTTTCTAAACAACCGAGATTTTTTCTCATGAAAGAAAATTATAAAGAAAATTATGGATAAAAAACCAGTTTTCTATGCAAAACGTGAACCGAAAGGTTGCAAATTCCTGTAAAAGATAATAGAAAAATTTTTCACTGACCTTTCTTAATGGACAGATCGATGCATTTTGCGGTGGTGGGGACGACGAGGATGGGGTCCAAATTCGAATTAGACTGCCGACTCGACGCGGACGACAACTTCCTCCCGTTCGAGCTGGAAGACGAACTCGTCGACTTGTTCACAGTCAAATCCACTGGCTCCATTTGGATGGGGGGACACTCCCCCTGAAAATTATGCAATTATTGCATCATTACTACTTAGAAATTAACAAATCATCCGAATTATTCAGTGAATAATATTCACGCAGGTCTTGGTAATATTGTAAAATCCGTAAATTCCGTAAACTTACAAAATTTTGCTTATATTTCGAAGGAAAGTTAGTGCCCAAATTTTTACAAGCTTTTACTCCAATCAAGGACGTCTCTTCATTTTGTACAAGTTTGTGAAGCTAAATATTTTACACAATTTACGGAGTTTATCGAAAAAATGTATTAAAATTGTAATTTTTCAGTAAAATGTTCCGACGCAATTCACGCAGTCATTAGCAACTTTGTAAAATCCGTGCGATTTGTACCCAAATTATGGAAACTTTAACAAAATAAATAAAGAGACGCTCTTGATCGAAGCAAGTTTAGAAAAATTTTGTAGCTAATTTTCCTTCGAAATATTTCAAAAATTTTGTTAAAGTTTGTAAGTTTATGGAATTTACGGATTTTACAATGTTATCAAGGCCTGTATGAATTGGTGCATTAATTTCTCATTTAGACACGTTTCATTCCACAACTTTTGCAAGACATACATATTTCCGTGCAACTTTAAACGATTCAAATTTCCATTAAACAAAAAATGTGAAAAATCTCAAGTAATTTGAATAAAATTTTTTAACGAATTTCGAAGATTTTCATATTCGAATTCACAGAAGGCATTATCATTTTGCATCCCCACCTGCCACACACACATGCAGGCAGTGAATGTCAAATTGAGGAAAAGTACTAAAAATTATTTACAACTGAATCTCGTTCTCGCCGCACATGTCCATCAATCAGTGTCACCAATGTCACCAATTTGTCACAACTTATTTCGCGACGGAATCACTTTCATTTTTTTACGATCCTTCCATTATTAACGCAGTGGCCGCGGAAGACAGGGGGACAATGTCCCCACGGCTGTTCGATGTCCGCATCATCTCTCCATCTTCTTATATAAACCCGGCCCTCCTCTATCCTAGAATTTTAACATTCCCAGATGTCCCCATGGCTTCCGCGGCCATTGTATTAAAGTTTTTAATTTGGAGCTATGGGTTCGAATTTCATCTCCATAATAGTTTTAATTTTCAAGCCCATTTTCCCCATAATTTTTAACTAATTAAAAAATTTTGTTCCATTTATGAGCATACATAAAATAAAACGAGTATTTAGCCTTTGTTTTAAATCATTTTTTACGGGGTTTTCATTTTTGGGTAGAATTGGATATGTGACAATTTTTATGGCGTCAAGAATGATAAGTGTTTCAGCACCTGCAAGAAATGCCTGCAAGAAATTGTTTTTTGTAGGTATACATAATTTCTTGCAGGAGTGAAGTAAATGCAAGCGTAAAATCTCCATAATTAAGTCTAGCATGAAGCGTGAACCGCTAGGTGGGGCTTATTTCTCGCAGTTTTTTGCAGTGCAGTGCACGAAATTGTGAAGTGGTGCAAGAAATCAAACTTACAAAAATATAGAATTCTCCAACTTATCAAGCTCCTACCCGTTTTTTGCGGGTTTGCTACATATCATGCAGTAGAAAGCAAGAACCGCATGAAATGCGAGGTGCACGAAACTGGGAGAAAGTGCAAGAAATACGCGCCATCTAGCCACGTGCTGTACGAACTATTTACAGCGGCGTGGTGTAATTTCTCCCACCTTGCATTTCTCCCAGGTCAAAATATTCCCCTGCAAGAAACCACTTTCTTCCCCCCGTTAATTCTTGCACCCGAAACACTGCTCCTCCCCCTCCCCCCTTATCATGCCATCTTATCGTTGCCATAATATGCCCCACAGCTGTCATAATATGTAGTTCATGCCCTGGTCACGTACATCCTTGGTAAATATTTATCTATTTAGCAATATTTTCTTGTGACCACTTGGTGACAAGTTTTTGGACACATATTTACTCGTCACTCGTCCGATGGATGGATGGATGGATGGTCATGCATACGCAACCTTAAGCAAATTTGGCTTGGGCAGTGTTTAAGGCGGAGGGCTGAGAGGTGAGGTGAGTCGTTCGCCACCACTAAATTGTGCGAGATTGTGATCTTTAAGTGTTTCGTAAAAAGAGAGAGGGAGGACATCGTTCACATTATTACGGAATGGCATAAAAGCATCGAGAGAGAGACCAGTGGCCGCGGAAGGAAGGGTGAGGGGACAGAGGGACAATGTCCCCATGGTTTTTTGATGTCTGCATCATCTTATATAAACCCGGCCCTCCCCTATTATCGTACGATGGCAATGTCCCCACATGTCCCCACGGCTTCCGCGGCTACTGATCGAGAGAGAGAGAGACGCCAGAGAAAAAAGCAGAGACAAATGACGAACAACAACAAACCTATAAGCCTCATTTTTTAAGGGAAGGGATGAGAAGAAGAAGAATCATAATCGGATCATCTTCACCAGAAACACTACACAAATGCTGAGAGGGAGCATTCATAAATTTCGATAATGAGAAAAAATATAACGTCAAGTTTTGCATACAAATTTTGCATACATTTTATAAGCACTAATTAAATATCTACGAGCTGATTTCGGGCTTATCCATTGTAAATTTTACGTACGAATGTTACGACGTATTTTAAAGGAAACTGGATTTTTTTACCTAAAAAAGAGAAGGTTTTTACTCAGAAATTTAAAAGAGAATTTTATTACGTTTGGTTTTTGGAAGTAGAAAAACGTTTACATTTTTATGCCTCGTTTTTAAAATCGCTGAAATACTTCCATAGAACTTCCTATAATTCTAATTTCGGAATATTACAAAAATTAATTAGTAAAATTGCAAAAAAAATTCCAAATTTCATTTCTAAAAAAAACATTAAAAAACTGCCATCAATCTCATCATCTTCATAAATTTACCACGTGGCCACTGAAGCGTCCCTCTCTCTTGAGAGTTGATCCACTCGTCGTCTCTGCCACCACGTTCCCTTCACCCTTTCTAATAATCTCCTTTTTGAAGATGTCTTGGCAATTAATCACCAATTTCTTTCGCCATTAAGTTTGCTAATTGCTCTCTTATTCTCCTTGACGGAAATGGATTAATTTATTGGACGGACGAGTATTCCACAAAACAAGGAGATCGACTAACCAATTCTATTTTATTACACACATCGCCCTCATCTCGCCACTTTTGCAGGGGCCGCCGCGGAAGCCGTGGGGACATTAACATTTGCAGGATTTTACGGGTATATATACGCCCTCAATAATTTTGTAATACTACTGTTACCGCGGAGGTACTATGCAGTTCTACCCATACCTGTTCAAAAATTTAGTTTTCATTCAAACTTCAGTCATCCCGATTTCTGACTGAAGATATTCATTCACATTCAGTCATTTTTTCTTTCAAATTCATTTCACTTCACTTCATCTGGCTTCATTTCTTACTTCGCCCCATGTATTAAGCATAGGGTGAAAAATGAAATGAGTGAAAAATCCCTTCATTCACAGTCATTCATCTGAAATGACGGAATCTTTCAGTCATTTTCTCTCAAATGACAGGAAATTCATTTTCATTCACTATCATTCACCATCATAATGACTCAAATGAATGAAAGTGAACAGGTATGCATGGGCACACGATGAGGACATTGTCCCTCTGTCCCCACACCCTTCCGCGGCCACTGTGCACCCACAATTGCACGTACATTGGTAAAACTACTACTTTTTATTACGGCAAGAAAATCAAGAATATAAAACAAACAACTCAAAATAAAACGAAACGAAATCAGAAATTATGATCTCCATAAATGATCAAGAAATCCAATAAGAAGACGATGACACTGTAGCGAACAATAATTATGAGCGGAATACTAATTGCTCATCAAGACCGAGGGGACGCTACTCTACGTGCATGCAAAATTTCGCATTTTTTACTATCTCATCCTCCAATCTCCTCCGCGTATGTGTAAAAATTGGGAAAAAATGAGATTCCGTCTGCGAGCAATTTTTATAAGGCAATTTTTTTTCTTGACAGGGTTAATCGATAAGGTCAGAGTTGTACGATGGATAGAGTTTTTGGGAAATTTTGCAGATTTCGTAAAAAAACGGGGATGGAATTTTTGCTTTGTTTGGAAATTGGGATTTTTTTAATTTCGCACTGTTATTATTTGCGAAATAATATTCAATAGTGTTTCGGTTTTTGCGGGTTTTGCTATATTTTTTGGATTATGCATAAAGTAAGCAATGCAAGAAATGCGAGGTGCAAGAAACTGCAAGAAATGCGGGGTGCAAGAAAGTGCAAAAAATACGCGCCATCTAGCCACTCGCCGTATGAACTATTTACAACAGCTGGCATAGTTTCTCCCGCCTTACATTTCTCCCAGGTCAAAATATTCCCCTTTTAAAAACCACTTTCTCCCCCTTATTTCTTGCACCCAAAAGAAACACTGTTTTTGTTCATAATAAACTTAATTCAGTCGTTTACAACTCTACCTATGAAAACATGAGGTACATATGTATGTACTTCCCCAATTTTTGCAAGTGTTTATTAATTCTGAGAAGATGCGAATTAATCCATTATTGAGATTATTGGTTCAATGTCGGACAAAAAGTGCATCATTTTCTCCCCTCCTCATCCACTTCAAACACTTTTAATTCCACTTCCAAGAATCGTTTAAAACTTGAAAGGGCATCGTTTAATGCAACTTTGCAATTTTTACGTCCCGGGCGGGATGATGCATCTGCAGGTTGTCAGTTGTCTTGTCATGCACTTATTTGCTCACGTCTACTAGTTTTTTCCCCATTTATGTATTAGCCCATCCATCTGACGTGTTGACACTGACATGCATTGACATTTGATGGGTGGGATCAAATCTGATCAAGTTCAAATTCATGTTAGAAAAAAAATTACGTGTTTCTCGTAAAAAATGTGAATCAAATTTGCCAAATGATTTATTCATTTTGTGGAGTAACGACCACCCCAAAAAATAAGGTTACATCGTAAACAAAACAAGACCAAAGTACTCAAAATTATGAAAAAATGGAGAAAAACTCAGCACCTTTTATGTAAATGATAAATTGTGGGATGGATATTTGTTGAGTTTATGGCCTCAAATTTTGTGGGTTTTTTTTTAAATATTTGAAGGTTTTTTAACATATTTCTGCTATTTAGTAAATAAATATTTCAGCTTTGCCAATATTGGGACAATTTTAAACAAAAAATATGCAAAAATACAAAAAATTGAGCATTTATGACAATTTGCAATTTAATTTTTGCACACTATCCAAAAATTAGAATCTTTACGTTTTCTTTTGTAACATATTTTTCTTACTTACATATCCACCTAATTTGCCTCAAAAATTTCCGAAAATTCGTATTGTGAGCTCTCTTTTGTAACATTTTTTTAGAAATATTTCCTTCCTATTTTTCATAGCTATCTCTAATTTGCCTCGAAAATTCCCGAAACTTGGAATCTTTATGTTCTCTTGTAAATATTTTTGGCAAATATTTCCTTCCTATTTTTCATAGCTATCTCTAATTTGCTTCAAAAATTCCCGAAAACTGGAATCTTTATGTTCTCTCTTGTTAATATTTTTGGTAAATATTTCCTAAATATTTTTCAGAAATATTTCATATCTACATATCTGCATATCATGATGAAGATGATAACCCGACCGCAGAAAGGAGTCACATTCTCTCTCTCACATATTTATTGCGAGTAAGGGAATACTGGTCGGGTCTCCGTGTGTGTGTAATAAATCATAAAAAATAGCAGAAATTTCTTCACATAGAGGAGGAGAAGGGTGAGGACGAGCGAGTAGGTAAATAATAAGTAAAAGTAAACCTCCCAACAATAAAAAGGAGAAGAAGAAGTTCATTTTATGACTCGAGATTTAATTCAATTTCTCGCATACTTCTCACAATTTATGAGACATTTCCAATCTCGCCAGGGTCATGCAGATGAGCTTTTTAAACAACCAGGTTGCACTATTAGATGAGACCGTCACTTCGCAAAAGGAGGAGAACCCGTCACTGAGAGACTCACAGATTTTGAGGCACTTTTTTTTTGGATATGTTGAGTGTACGAAAGGTGAAGGAGGGTTTTTTTCTATGGTACTATTTTCATCCGAAAAAGTTGCAAAAAAATGCGAAAAAGACCGTATTTTGGCTCGTTAAAAGCTTCACAAAAATCTAAGTTTGCTTGGATTTTCATAATTTGTGCATCTTCTTAAATAGTTGCTTTACCATGTTCAATCACAAACTCAATTTTTTTAACTTGGATTTTTTCGAGGCCAAATTTTTGAAAGTATCAATGTTTTTTTTTAATCGAGCTGGTAATTTGGCCCTAATTTTTTTGTTGCTTTATCGTACCTGACGTAAGCTCAATTTTTTAATTTTGTTTAGTATTTTCCAAAGTATCGTCTTCTAAAATATCAAGATTTCAAAAAAGGTGAGTTTGTTATTGGATATAGTAAAGTAACTAGCTGAGATCAAGAAAATGCTGAAATTATGAAAATCCGAGCAAAATTGGATTTCTGGTGAAGGTTTTAATGAATCATAACAGGGGGGTTTATCATCATTTTGAGGCCACAAATGGGGCCATGGAATAAAAAAACCTGCTTAACTTTTCGAACTACTTTGAAAGAAATGGAATCAAAATCTGTGATTCTTTTGGTGAAAGGTTATCCTCCCCCCAGCGTCGTCGTCGTCGTCGTCGGTGCGTTCTTTTTCATGTCCAATTAGCCACCAATTTACGACTGGGGGAGGGGTAGCAGTTAGCTGATTCAATCAGCAATATAAAAAAATGACGAGTTATAAGTTTCACAAAAAGCAAATATTTTAACTAACGCGTTCTACGCCAGGAGGATGATTCTACGCAAAGATAGCAACTAATTATTTTACTCATTTTGCAAAAACAAACTTGCAAATTAACGACATGCCAATTCTTAACTTTGCAAACAAAATTTAATACTTTTCCAGCAAAAAGTTTTGCGAAATCTTGTAAAAATTAATAAGATTAGCATTATCAAAGTTTTCTGAACTTGTATGAGGCATTTATTTATATTGTAGGATAGCAGATTTAGCAATAAGTTTGCGAAATCGTGTTGCAAAATAAAAACAAATTTGGAGACAAATTTCTGAACAAAAATTGCATAGTTCCAAATTTTGCGAAACGTCGCAAATAAGTTTCGAATGCCGTGGAAAAACATGTTGAGGCAATTCACACAGGCCTTGGTAACATTGTAAAATCCATAAATTTCGTAAACTTATGTACAAACTTTATAAAATTTTGCTCATACTTCGAAGGAAAATTGGCTCACAAATTTTTGTAAACTTGCTCAGATCAGGGGCTGGGTGTCTTTAATTTATAAAATTTTGCAAAATTACGATACAAGGCGCACCGATTTTACAAAGTTACAAATAACTGCGTGAATTCCCTCGTTATATTGTGAGCTAAACTCGTTATTTTATGAGTTATTTAGTTGCAAATTTACATTGTAGGATAGCAATGGGATGGGGCTTATCAACATTGAAGGATAGGGGACATTAAACCACAATTTTCCTTTACACAGAAGAAGAGATTACACTGCCCAATTTATTTCACGTATTGACTTCATTTCATGTAAATGACCCCGTAATTAAGTGGATTAGCCATAAAGAGATTTTATTACTCGTAAATAAACGTAAAGAAAGGAAGAAAGCGAGAGGATGCCTGCGAGATGCCTCCATAAAAACGAAACAAGGAATGGAGAACAAGGACTAAACGTGTGTAATGGATTCTTAAATATTTAGTTGCTTACTTGACATGCTTGAATTTTGAATATCTCAGAGAGGAATGCAAGGGATAAGCGGAGATTTAAAGATTTGGAAAATATTTACATTCTTCTTACGCCACGAGGAAGGTTGTCAGTGCGTGAAATGAAATTTGTGTACATGATTTCATCTCATAATTTTATACCACGTGGTAGTGATTTTAGGGTAAATTTGAAGCATTTTTAAGAAATAAATTGGCTTCGATGCACTCCACATGTTTTACATCAATTTATAAATATCTGGCATAATTTTGTGTCAGGAAAATTGTCACCACGTGACAAAAATAATAACACGTGGTTTGGTCGATGTATTATGCACGGAGATAAATGTGCATTTAGTCAGAAAAAAAAATTACACGATTTACAACGAATCGTATTTTTTCATGAAAACAGTAACACCAGAAAACCCAGAATTTTTAAAAATGTGCATTTCGAGAGAAAAAACAGGGATTTCTAGAAAAATATGCGATTTATAATGGATTGTATTTTTACATGTAAAAACAACCCTAAAAAATTCAAAATTTTCAAAATCTATATACATTTCATCCGAACAAAACTGGTATTTCTTAAAACAAAATTACGCGAATTATAACGAATCGTGCTTTTTCATGCAAAAAAAACCTAGAAAATCCAGAATTTTGCTCATTTTTGTTTCTAAGATTTTGGAATTTTGATAAAAAAAACGAAATTTTCGTATTTAGGTAATTCATATTTTTTTATCTACTTTAAAGCAAGCTTTCCTCATAAAAGTCTAAAACACTTACCTCTTTGGAGCCCATAATGTTAGGGGGACGCATTCGATCTGTCGGCATTTATTTTCGACCAGAACGCTAAAAAATTTGAGGGGAGGGGGACGATCCGATCAAAAAAATATTTGAGACGTCTTCTTGAATCAAAATAATTTCCTCTTTTCTCGCAGCTGCAGAATTATTCTTGTCACAGTCGTTCTTGTCCTTCCACATTCTTCCCCACGAAACTAGCAGAGCGTCCTCACCACCACCTGCGAGTTAATAAAAAAAAACATAGGTACATTAAAGTCATAAAGTCAGTAAAGAAAAATCAATTTCTCGCAAAATTATTCCCTTTATCATCTCTTTAACAAGTTTGTGTCACTCGTATCTCGATAGAAATCTCAAATTAATTAGAATTTGGCACTGGTGCGGAGTGGAAACGTAATATTTATGTGGTTTAATTACACATGTCGCAAAACCCATTTTAATTGCGGAACGACTTTTACGTACATGCATCGTTATTTTGCAGGACACAGTTTTTAAATATTCCGAGAAGAGAATTGTAGTTTTAAGGATGTCAAAACCGTGTTTTGTTTCACATTTAAATTTATGTATGTCAACAGAAGATGCCCAAAACGCCCGGCATTTTTATGGTAAAAATTCAAGGATTTGTTTTCATGCGAAAAATGCCACGAATTTATTTTCGTATCCAAAATTTTGGCATTTATTTGCGAAAATATCAACACAATTAAGTTCAAGCGCAAAATTCTGATATTTATTTTCATGCAAAAAATTTCATGGATTTGTTTCCATAATTGTAGCATTAATTTTTACATTCCACAATTCTGGGATCGATTTTCATGCAAAAATGCCTCTCATTTTATTTCATGACCGAAATGTCCCTCAATTATTTTCATGTGCAAAATTCGGACATTATTTTCATACCGAAAGTTCCACATCTTAATTTTCATATCCAAAATTCCCAGCATTTATTTGCATGTGCAAAATTTCCGTCAATTATTTCCATGCTAAAAATTCCCGAAATGTATTTTAATGTCGAAAATGCCCCGTATTTTTATGTCCTGCTGATTGCACAACTCTGCTAAGCCTGGCTGGACTGTTGAGAAAACGTGACCATGTTTGCATCCTGGTCTTTTGTTTTACTTAAAGGAGACTTTTATCTCGCTCCGGTCACAGATTGTTCTCCGGATTACCACGTTCAATTGGTGGTGGTGGTGCATATCTTATGCATATGTGCTTAAGAAATGGAGGAATAAAGGAATGTGACGATGAGGACGACATGGAATTTATAATGACGATATTTAATCCAACACGCAATCCGAGTTGGACATCGTTCGTAGGGGATATTTACATAAAAAGGATTATGCTTTTGGAAGGAGTTTAAATCAAAATTTTAGTAATAAAATACAAATAAAAATTTTAATATTAAACTCTAAATCAAAATGTTTAGTATCAAAATTTAATAAAAATTTGCGTTACTCATACAAAAATTTCACTGTCAAACTTAAACTCAAAATTTTGAAAATCTGAACTAATTAATAAAATTAAGATCAAAATTTTACTAATAAAATTTCAGTTAAAATTTGTTGCATCAAATTCAAAATCAAAATTTAATATCAAAATTCTATCAAACTTTTACTGTCAAACTCGTTCCCAAATTTAGCTATTAAAATCAACCACAAAGTCTTTATTTTCAAACAAAAAATCAAAATTTACTCAAAATTTAATTGTCAAAGTTATATCCAAATTTTGTCAAGTAAAAAATCAAAATTTTACTATCAAAATTTATTATAAAATTAAAAATAAAAATCAGAAATACACACACCTTCCTTCTTCTCAATTTAGAAAGCAAAATTTTTCTTGCACCAATATTAAATGAATCCACATTGTAAATAAATCGACAAATATGAATTGCCCCGTAAAGTAAAGTAATGCATAGAAAACTCGTTAAAATGCAGGCATGCCATCTTCTCCTCGTGTTGTTTTTGTTAATAACAATCCAATAAATGTACTTAAAAGGTTAGGTTGACACAAAAAGTTAAGACAAAAAAACTAGTAGAAGAAGAAGAAGAACTTGCAATCGTCTCATCGTCATTATTGTTACCAGTGGCCGCGGAAGAGTGGGTGGGGACAGGGGGACAATGTCCCCACGGTTGTTCAATATCCACATCATCTGCCCATCTTATAAATATAAACCCTTCCTTCACATATCCTTCAATTTTAGTGTCCCCCGATGTCCCCACGGCTTCCGCGGCCACTAAGGATACATACGTAAAGGGAGGATGCACAGTGGCCTCGGAGGAAGCTTGAGGGGACAGAGGGACGGTTGTTCGATGTCCCCATCTTATATGAACCCCACCCTCCCCTATCCTACCATACAAAGTTAATGTCCCCCCATGTCCCCACAGCTTCCGCGGCCCCTGATCATTCCGTATTGTCGAGTAGTTAAGGTTTTTTAGTTTTTGGTGTAAAATAAAAGTTGCTGAAATGAACCCAAAACTCACTTAACTGGTTTCCATCTGAACAGAAATACAAATATTTATATGCATAGCGTGCCTCATCTCGCCGTGGATGTGTCTCCATGTCATGACAGATGGAAAAGTAGGAAAAGATGTTTTTTTGTGACAATTTAAATTCTAAATTTTATCATGATTTTGGAAATTATTAGGACCAATATTATATTTTTAGTGGAAATTTTTGGGGAAAAAGTGGACAAATAAATTGAATTGTCAAACCCCTACTTTGGGATGTTTAAATTTCCATTTAAATTTCTGCCCCAAAGTTACACTAAATTGATGATTATGTCATTTCTAAAATTCAAGGTATTTATTTTCATAAACGAAACACCTTAATTTATTTGCATGCTGAAAATTCCCGTAATTTTGCGTATAATTCGGAGCATTTATTTTCATGCTAAAAATGCCTCGGATTTACTTTCATGTTTAAAATTCTGAGAATTTATTTTCATGGTTTTCCAAAAAACCAAAAAACCAAAATTCTAGACATCTATTTTCATACATACAGATTCTCATAATTGTGGACACGGGTTTATGTATTTTCCGTTTAGGAAATATTGAGATTTTATGGTTAAAAATCAACCAAAAAAATTAAGATTTTTGAATGTTTTTTTAACTTGAATTTATAAATTTTGAACAGAATTAATTTGTTTTTATAAAAATAATCCCAAATTTTGGGTTGGTTTTTAACCAAAAAATCTCACAGGCCTATGAATCCGCTTCATTGTACAACTCTATAAAAGCCGAAATTCTTTACGACTCTGCAGAGTAAAAGTAGCAGAAGGTTGACTCCTCACTCACTCGACTTGTGGGTAAATGAACAGCTTATGCAAATTAGATGATGATAAAATAAAATAATGTTGCTTACTTTTTCACATTAAATCATTACATTACACACGAAATCAAGTACCATCTCATCTCCACTAAGTAAGTAAGTAACCGGCCGGTCGGCTCGTTGCTTTTTGCTCCTTTGGTTTCGCAAAACTCTCGCAAAACAGTTTTCCGTATTTTACATAACGAGAATGAAACTTGTTCTACTCTTTTTTGGATGGAAAATGCATTCGAAGGTAAAATCGGAAAGTATTTACTTTCCATATTTATGAAAAAAATGGATAGATACCAAACAAGATTTTGGTTTACTTTACTTTAAGCTTTTGGAGAGTGGGTTTGATAAATAGTGAATATATAAATGTGTTTTTTTAGTGTGCAAGTTTTTTTGGGGATTTTATTGGTAATTTATGTATTAGCGAATAAGTATTTGTTTATTTTCGATTTTTTTTGCATTTGATGAGATGAGATACGACGGTAAAATGTTGTGGGTGTGTTTTAACAAGTCGAATAGAGTGTAAAAAATTTCATAATAATTTTCAGAATTTTTCAATATTTCAAAGTTTTTCTAAATATCGATTGAACCCAGTCATTTGTAACTTCTTAAAATCCGTGCATAATTTTACAAACTTTTACAAAATAAAATAAAGAGACGCCCTTGATTTGCTTGGAACAAGTTTACAAAAATTTGGAAGCTAAATTTCCTCTGAAATATTTCCAAGATTTTGTAAAAGTTTGTAAGTTTACGAAACTTACGGATTTTACAATGTTATCAAAAGGCCTGTATTAATTGCTGCATTAATTTCTCGATAATTTAGACACGTTTCATTCCACAACTTTTGCAAGACAAAAGTACATATTTCTGTGCATTTACAAGTTTTACGGGGTTTATAAAGTTACCCAGACCTGCGTGAATTGTCTCAATGTTTTGTTCAAAATTTAAGCTACTATTTGTAAAATATGTACATATTTCTCATAATTTTGAAATGTGTACATTTTGTAAGCATTTCTAGGATGAAATTTGTCTTAAATTTTCAGGATTAAATTTATGACAGAATTTTACGAAGAAACCCTTCACTTTTTTGCTTTTTTGGCATATTTTTGTCCAAAAAACCTTCCACATTTTCCCCAAAATTACATTACTCTCCTCTACAATTTACTAATTAATTATTCGATTGATCAATTATTCCAATTCTTTTTTTTGATAAGCTTGTTTTCTTCATCTAGAATAAATTTATCGTCCTGTTTCTTCCCAAACTTGCTGCCAAAATGAAACGAAATGTGTATTCGCCAACTTTGTTCCTTTACCACATTTTTTGTAATTATTAAGTAAATCAACTATTTAATAAGGGGTAATTAGTGCCTCAGCCAAATTAAACCGCTAACCAATAACTAAACATTAATTGGCTAGGTCATGACATGACGTAGCACTCGAAATAAAATGAAATTAAAGTGTGCCGAATCAAATGGAATGTCAAGTCAATTTGGCCACCTTAATTATTACTTGTTTCATTTAATTGGAGCAACTTTTTCATACCTTTACTTCTTGCCGTATACAACTCGTTAAAATTAATCCGGAATATGTACGTTACGAGGAGAACTATAACAATAAAATGTAAAGGACACATACATAATCCAACTGGTAAAGTTCCATTTCTTCACTTATCTGGTAAGGAAAAAAAGAAGGTTGGATTTATTTGTGGCAAGTTTTTTATCGCTTTTATTATTATTATTATTACAGATGTAAATTAAGATAGGTGTGTTTGTGGAGATCAGATCAAAGGTCGACGCCGCCACCAGAATTTTACGTGCTGACCCTGCCGATAAGTCTGTTTTCTACTTTATCAACATTAGGATGCCGCCGAAAAATTGGTCGGCGTCGACCTCTCTTATAGATTGGATTGTGGTCAATAAGTTGATGCAGAAGGTTCTCTGGGGGGAATAATGTCCCCACAGAAATATCGAGCTATTGTCCCCAAAAGATTTCGCATCCCGTGTTTTTTCAGAAAAAGTTATGTTTCCTAATTTCTTTAACTAAATCTAGGGTTTCGTATTACGATATTTTTTTAAAAATATTTGCTACACAATTGAGAGAAATCATGTATTAATTAACAGTGCGATGAAAACAAATACTTTCTTAGGAAATATGTCATGCAATTTTTTTCATGTAAAAAATGCTTTACATTAATTCTTCAAGATAATTCCATTAAAATTTAAATTGTATTTTATTTCTGAACGAAATTTTTACCCGTTGTGTATCTGATTTTTCCATTTAACCCAAGAAAAAATCGTAGTGTGTTTTTTTCGCCCAACAAACATTCGCACTTTTGCGAAAAAAACACAATTAGCTTTAACAAACCCATGCATGCAAACATGAAGCAATTTGTACTTGAAAGGTATATAAGAAATGTATTCGCAGATGGTGTCTTTATCTTGCTGAGCGTAATAAAAGATGATGATCGAGACATTTGTTCAGCGAGGCGTGGTTGGTTTGTTTTGTGGTGATAAGAATTAATAGCTGACCAAATCAGAGCAGACGAGACATTATTTGTCAAAAGTAATGTGTCACTTTTATTATTCACTAAAGTCACCATTTGTTTATTCCATTCCTTACTCCTTAACTAAACTACAACCAATTCATTTTTCTAAGAGGTTTTTAAAATTTGGAAAAATTATTTGAAAAGTTGTTTCATTACCTTAATTTTTTAAGAAATAAATCCAATCTTCCAAAACATACAGAATTTGATTAAACTACTTGATCCACAATTTGATAGGATGAAATTTGAGTTAATTTATACCCAATTAAAGCTAGTCTTTCACAATTTTCGTAATTTTATGGCAAAATTTGCGTCACTTTTATGTACCCGCAAAAAAATGAGCCTACACAATTTTTCTCAATTTTAACACAAAATTTGAGTCGACTTTATCCTAAAAACCGAGTTTTTCAAAAATTTGCTCAACTTTAGCACAAATTTGTAACGGTATTACTACGAAAAAGTGAGTTTTTCACAATTTTTCTCAACTTTAGCACAAAATTTGAGTCCACTTCATCCGCAAAAAAATGACTTTTTCACAATTTTTCTCAACTTTACGACAAAATCCGCGTTAACTTTATGCATCCGCAAAAAAGTGGGGGTTTTCTTCACGCCGTAAACTCTGCAACGAGTGAATGAAGTGATTCGTAGAGTTGTGTCGCACTATATATTTTTCACACTTTTAAGTGTAATTTAAGCGTCATTTAAAGACTACAGACGTAATTAAGTTACGTGATCAATTAAACGGAATTCTTGGATGAATGAGAGAGGAATGTGCAGCAGCAGACGATGGATGGATGGATGGGAAGTCTTCCTAATTAAGAGGTGCATGCATGTCAAGTATTTATTTGTGGTTGATCTCTTCATAGAATTGCGTATGAATAGGTGACGAGTCTAAATTAAGGGGAATTCTTCTTCCTCCTCTGTCACCTCTAGAGTCCCCTAGAAGCTGAGATGAGTTGGCTTAAAATTGCCCATTTTTTAGTAGAGAGATAGATTTGGGTATACGTCTCAGGTAGATTTAGCAAATTGCTAGTTTGTAGCACACCTTGCATATTTACAACATGATTTTAAATGTTTGCATTTGTTTGGAACTTATAGCGAAATTAGGACCGCAAATTTATTGATGTGGAAATCTTAAAAAACACATGGATTTACTTAAAGAGATCATTATGGGAATTTTGAAGTATTTTTTAATAATTTCTAGACAAATTATAGCGTATAAATTTCAGGGCAAACTTAAACTAAATAAAATCTTATCGTTGCCAACAAACTGAGGATGAGATTCAACGGTTTTATATAAATTAAGAAGTATCATGTGAAAAATTGAAATTTGAAGTATTTTTTATTTCTTTATACATTTGGGGTATAAATTTCAAGCAAATGCAAACTTTACAAAATTTCCAAAATTTGCAAATACATACTTGCACCCAACTCAACTTCCCGGCCGCACTATGAACGAGGACCACACTAAAGAACGGAAAAGGTTAACCTTTTCAGGTATTCTTCTCCTTTTCACAAATTGTCTCTAATTGTCACCTTTTCTCCACATATTTACTTAATTAATTACACAATTACCGGAAGGAAACAATACGGGTATACACACATAGAATTTTCTGCACTACAGTCTAATAATACCTCGGTGGTGGTGATCGTGACTGCATTTCCACCACAATGCCCACCCATTACACAATTACGTGAAAAAAAACCACCCAAGTTTAAATCATGACATTTAAACTTAAACCATTTCCCAGCGAGAGAATCAAAATCAGTGGCCGCGGAAGGTGTGGGGGCATTAACTTTGTTCGATGGGTGAGGGAAAGGTTTACATATATAAGATGGGAACATCGAACAACCTGTCCCTCTGTCCCCTCGCCCTTTCGCCGCCACTGATCACAATAATAATAAAAAGCTCGTTAATTCCGGGTGTGTAAAGTATATATAAAATGGCACAAAGAACTCTTTCTTCTTGGGGATAGGAATTCCCGCAAATTTGCGAAAATTTCTTAACAAAGATGACATCAGACCAGACCACCGGAGATTGTCTCTCACAATTTTTTTTTACTACCGTGTGACACAAGGTGTGACCATGAAGATGATGGCATGATCAAGTTTCAAATATCTATGTACAGGATCCATTCAAATGGAAAATTTCAGAGTCCATCCATCCGTCAGATTGGGAGGGCAGGGGAAAAAAATTGTGAGAGATTACTCCATTTTTATCCCAGGCGAGGCAGGCGAGAACTGAAGGAAATTTTGGCTACTGTATTATACATTTTATTACACATTTCATACGGATTTATCAACGTGAAGGCCAAGTGCATACAGAGATTAGAGAACTGCCCACGTTGAGTTATGGTAGGTGTATGCAAATTATGGGAGTTGTGCAATGGACAGGATTGTGGGGAATTTTGGGCATAAATATCGCTTATAGGGACACAAATTCATACAGGGGCAAACTGAGCTAATTGGCGTAAATACAATGGAATTTCTAAAACAAATCATGTGTCAATTTGATTAACATTTGAAGATTTAATTATTTATTACTGAATTACTACGGAATTAATTTAATTTACTAAGGAACTAACTTAATTGAACGTTGAATTGATTGTTTTAAGGCGTTTAATAGAAACTAGACCCTGCCACTGTAAATATTCCATAAATCATGTGGCTAGATGGCGCACATTTCACCCAGTTTCTTGCACCTCGCATTTCTTGAATTTCTTCCTTCGCACTGCAAAAAATGCAGCAAACTCACAAGAAACAGCGGACCCAAATCCATCCAAAGTTAAGAAAAAAATGAGTCTTCCTTAAACACACAGACCATAGTCCGTCGTCCGAGCCAGGAATGAATAAGGTGTACAAGATACCTCCACATCCCCGTATTTACGACGTGATTTGCGTAATGTGGGATTAAACAAGGTAACGTAATGAATGACCAAACCTGACAGACTCGCCTTATTAAAATGGATACTAAAATATTCAAGAATTATGAGGAGGACCCTTTCAAAATGTGTACCTGACATGACGACACCACCCCAAAAATCACAATTAACCGTACTGCACAACAATACAAGAGTGACCCAACCCAACCCAATCAAATCCAATCCACCCACTGCACACACACACACACTTGATCCTCACCCTTAAAAAAAGCCAAATTCTTACATTACATATGTTATGTTACCAACCTTTTAAAGAATTTGGTAAGAATTTCATTTCTTTTTTTGATGGATGTGTGACAATCAGGTGCTCCCACACATTAAAAAAAACAACACAAATTCTGGCCAGGTTTCTGACTGACGTCGAATTCATTTTTCAGTTTACATAAAATATTAACAATTGAAATTCAAGAAATTTTAGGAATAAGAAGACAATTTTATTAAAAGGGTTGAAATTCAAGGTTCATAAATTTCTAACATGCCGTGGGTTTTTTGATGCATTTTGATGGCGTAAATAGCCCAAGCTGATTTCCATTTGGAAGCAGGGTTCGGAAAACTGCGGAGTTTTTCCAGAAAAATCTACCCCCGGATTTTTGGGTGAGATTTGGTACCTCAAAAACCTCAAAAAAATCCGAGGTTGCGTACCCCCTCTGGAACTGCAAAATGTACCCTTTAAAAAAACTGGTGGTTTTTCAAACGCATTTTTTTTCAACGTTACGCTACATTTTTCTAAAATTTGACATTTATACGCACATAATTCTAAATATAAAATACTCATGGCCGATTAATAAGTAAATAAATATTACTACGACCTCCAGATTTCCATCCGTTATTATTTAAGACGCAAAAACCCCAGAACATTTTAGGAATCTCGTCTTTCTCTCCTGGGTGGGGTCCGACGCATGAAAAGAGATCGTGAGTAAATTTTCTGAAAGACTTTTTTTCCAAAAATGGGAAGAATATAACGCAGAAAAAAACCACCGGTGGAGAAGATCTCTCTATTCGGGATGGTACATACTCTTTGGCCGCGGAAACAGGGGGACATTGCCCCCCCAGAAATTTATCAAAATCTCTTATTTTTTCTATGACCCTCCTCCTTAAATCCCACAATCCTAATAATGTCCCCACATGTCCCCACCCACCAACTTCCGCCGTCACTGCACCTTTAATTCGCAATGTACATACATACCCACAAAATTTACTATGTGGTGGGTCTTCCCATGCAATTGATACAGACACAATTCACCTCTTTACATAATGCTTTTTGTCCTCATCTCCCTTGGCTGCTCATGCACCCATAATAAATTCATAAAGCAACCCTTCCACCACCACCGCCGTCATGAAATTAATTGTTATCCACACAAAAATAGGAGAAGAAACCCCAGAATGAACCAAACCAACCTCGAGGAAGAAGAATCCTTCAAAAAGCTAAAATGGGACAGCTTTTCATCATAAAAAGATTGGGATAGATTTGAAATCTATGAATTAAAGCTACAGGTGGTCCCACCACCATCAAACCAACACCAGTGGCCGCGCAGGCCGTGGGGGGACATGGGGGGACGTTAACATTGTAGGATAGGGGAGGAAGAGGGTTATATAAGATGGGGAGATGATGCGGACATCGAACAACCGTGGGGACATTGTTCCTAAGCTTCCGCGGCCACTTATTAAAACCGTAGACTTATGAAATTACGAAAACCAGTGGCCACAGGAACCTTGGGGACATTTGGGACATTAACAGGGGAAGGATAGGTTTATATAAGATGGGGAGATGATGCCGACATCGAACAACCGTGGGGACATTGTCCCTCTGTCCCCACCCAAGCTTCCACGGCCACTGCATAGCATGGGTCGATTTGTTGGTTTGGGATGTGTATAAAAATTGATAAGTTTGTAAGATTTCAAATCGTGCCGATTTCATAAAGAAATCAATCTTTCGATAACAATAGAAGATGGTAAAATGGATGAGATGATACAGATTTTGCGTAACGGGGTAGCTCCCGTCGGACGGACCAATAATAATGATGGGCGTGGTGGGTGGTTTGGTTTGGTTTGGTTGGGAAAAAGAAGTCTTAATCCACTCCATTGAACATGCAAAATCTCCATAAATCATAATCTCCAGTCGATAATTCACTACTGTTTAGACACACTAAAACTCGATTTGAACACCAAAAATCAATAACCAATTAGTTTCAGGGAAATATTAATTATTATGCAATTTTTTCACGAATAAAGAAATAACTAATTCACAAAAATTATTAGTGTTCATCTCTCATAATCTACGTCTCTTTTTGGGTTTAGCAATTTGGCACGCAAAATTCATAATTTCGCGTAAATGTTAATTACTATGCTGCGATTTTCAAGAATGAATGGCAAATTTGCAAAAAACATCTCGCAAAAAAACAAAAAACTGGAATTTGACACCAAGAGTCAATAACTGATTAGTTTTCGCTAAATATTAATAATTATGATTATTTTTGCACAAAAAAATTGCAAATTTGCAAACATTATTAGTTTTCATATCTTGCAGGATGCTTATCAAAGCCAAGACAGTAGGAATTTGACACCCAAAATCAATAACGCCTTAGTTTCCGCTAAATATTAATTATTTTCATCAATAAACAAATGACAAATTCGCAAAAATGATTAGTTGTAACTTGATTTAAATCATATCTGGTGGTCTGCATTTGAGAAGCCAAGCCCACCTTTACCGTTACGAAGGCCTATAAAAAGTGGAGCAGCTTTTTAATTTGTTCCCTGTCTTGTAGTCTTTTAGTCGTCGTGTAAAGTGGACACACCCTTTTTTGCCTTTTATCATTTTTCACTCTCTCATCCTGCACGGTTTGCAGTGCAAATTCTTCATACATCTTCACCAAACAACCAATCA